TTCAAAGCAATGGAAGATAGAATGGCTAGAAGAAATTTGGGAAAATTTTATATAATCTGTCTACCCTATAAACCACCCATGCCATTCTTAGTCTTCTGTATGAAAATATATCTATAAAAAGATTCACATACATGTACTCACTATAATATTAAACAACAGGTTACAATACAGTCAATAGGAGAATGGATAATAAATTATAGTATTTTAATGGAATGGAATGCACTCCATAGAAACAGGAGTAATATGGATAGATTTCAAACATATCATGCTGAGGGAAAGAACACACATACACACACACACACACACACACACACACACATCACTCACTGTAGGATTCCATTTATGTAAAGCACAGGACTAGGCGACTCTAACTTATGATGATAAAAACCAGGAAGTACTTGCCCTGACGCAGAACTGAGAGCAATTCATTTAAACAGGCAGGGTGAGACTCTTTTGGGTGGTGGTAATATTCTATACTTTGTTTCAAGTGCTGTCATACCTACAGATGCAATTCTCAGAGTATCAAACTGTATAACTAAGATCTGTGTTTATTATTCAATTGAAGGAAACTGCTTTACCAGGAAATGAAAAGAAAATCAAAAGCTGGTTTATTTTACTTAACCTTAATAACCACCTGGTTCATCCATGTTTTCAGAAATGTAAGAGTTCCCTCTTATTTAAGACAAACTATCATTCCATTCTGCCTGTACACTACATTTTCTTTTTCTATTCATCCACTGATGGACTCTTAGATTGGTTTTATATGTTGGCTGTTGGAGCGCAGCTATCTCTTCACGTACGGATCTCATTTCCTTTGGAGACAGACCCAGAAGGGAGACTTCTGAATCATACAGTCATTTTTGAGGAACTTCCATGAATTTTTCATAATGGCTGTATTAGTTTACATTCCTACTCACAGTTGGCAAAAGTTCATTTCCCTCATATCTTTTCCATAATAGCCATTTTAAAACAATGAGATGATATCTCACTGTGACTCTGATTTACATTTCCCTAATGATTAGTGATGTGAAGTCAGGCACAGAAAGATAAACACTGCAGAACTTCACTTATACTGAGGACCTAAAAAAGTTTATCTCATAGAAATAGAGAATGTCTGGGTGGTTACTAGAGGCTGGTAGATGGGGGGAGAAGAGAATGAAAAGATGTTAGTCAGAGGATGTAAACTTATTGTATAGTTGAGTGACTGTGTTAAAGACAATATATTGAATATCTGAAAAATGCTAAGAAGCCAGTATAAGAAACACGTCATTGTTTAGAAGAAAAAATTGGCATGTCAATAGACCTATCCAATATTTTTTCAAGTCTTTTCAAGAATTTTTTAAAAAGAGTCAAAGTAATTTTATCTTAAAGTATGAACTCAGCCTTGTGGGTTCTTCTACATAGTGGAATTCAGCCTTGTGGGTTAATATACTTGAGAGAAACAAAGAGAAACCAGCAGCGTACAAATATTTCAGTGCCTAATAATTAAAAATAGAACATTTCACAATCTGGAGGATTTCAAGACATGAAAGAGCCCAGTGAAACAAAGGTGAAAAGATCAAACACAGGATGCAGAACTAACAGCTGTGACTTTCTGAGTTAATAAATAAATGGAATAAAAACAAACTCAACAAAATGCTGGAAAGTCTGCATCTTCCCCGTGATTAACACACTAATCAGAAACACTTGCAGTGTAAAATCCAGCCAGCCTCATCTGACAGTGAAAGCAAGGACTCCCTGTCCATGACGGATACCTTCCATTTTTATAGGCACAGTTATCAGAAACTGGACTAAATGAAGGCATGCATGAAGCAGAGGGAAAGTAGCCCACCCTGCTCTACCCAAGCAGTACATATTTTCAGTGAATAAATAAGATAAAAGTTCTGTATTGCATATCACTGTCCCCAGAGTAAAAACTTGAACACATCAGCTTATGCTCAAGGAAGGAAATGTAAATGCATGAGGTCTGCATTTATACTTTTATTTTTAAGTCTCATCACCAGCATTAAAAGTCAGATCATTTTGACCATGTTAATTTCTAATCAGTAAATGGGAAAAAAGTATTTGAATATCCACAAGTGGATCTGACTTCACATTTTGTGCATTTCCACACAGAAAGACAGAATTGACCATTTAGAGGATTAAACCTGTGATCAAAATATAGGATCTTAAGTAAGCTAACCAATAATTATCTCAACAACTTTTTGGCCTGTATACACCTACAACTTAAGAGGCACACTGAGGATTGTCTGTTCTACCCATCTGCCCATCCTGGGCATACACCTCTGAGACCATGTGTTCTACCCAGCACTACCTCATAATTACAGCGAAGTGAATTTTATGCTCCTGTCTCTCTGAAGTGCAGGAGGGGCCCAGAGACCAGAAGTAATAAGGAGAAATGATTGATGCAGTAAAACCTCTGCAGCAGAGGGAAAAGCAGACCAACTGATGTTCTATTCTTTCCAGATTACATACAGTACATATACACAATATACAGCTATTATACTCTAATATATATATATGCTTATACATGGCATAGGTTTTAATTTAAAACCATCATGCCAAGTTACTTAACTCTCATATATCTTTATTTTTTTTTTGCTTTTCAATCATAATTATAATGTCCAAAAGAGAAAAGTGAAGCCAGTTACCTCCATAAATATTTAATAACTAACAGAACCAAAGAATAGAATCAATAAGGTTTTAATTTCTGGAATCAATTTCTAGTGTTAATACTACCTCTAGTTTTCGTCAAGATTCATAAAAATAAAATTAGCTAGCCTGAACTAAAATAAAACAAAAAACAGAGAGAAGGATTTATGAAATAATGTTTCTTAGGAATTGCTTTTCACTCATTAAATAATAAAATACCTTCATATTAGAGAATTTTCACTGATATAAAAATAAATATATTGCCAGGCATGGTGGTGCATGCCTGTAATCTTAGCCCTCAGAAAGCTGAGGTAGGAAGATTGCTGCAAATATGAGGCCAACCTGGGCTTACAGCAAATTCAAGCCCAGCCTGAACTACATAGTGAGATCCTGTCTCCAAAACCCAAAAAAATCAATAGCGGTATCACTTGTATCTAGATGCTCTGCCAAAGCCTCAGGTGGTCATAGACGGGGCTTTTTAGAGGTGGCTGGATCTAGTGTGTGTCATGCTAGTGTAACTCATGGTTCAATGCTAGGATTAAGGGCACTAGGATTAAGGGTGTGGGTGCTCCCACCCCTAAGTAGCCTGGATAAGATGTAAGGGATAGAAAAGAGATGATCAAGTGCCTTGCTTGTTTCACTACCTTCTGCCTGCCATGAACTGTTTCTCTTCTGTAATACCCCTCTGCTACACCACCCAGCTTTGGAGCCAGCCAATTATGGACTGATACCTCTACAAATGTGGGCTAAATAAACCTTTTTTCTTTATCTTTGGGTTCAGGTATTTTGTCTTAGCAACAAGAAAAGTAACTAAAACAAATAGTAAAGAATTTTATTAACATATATTAGACAATGTCTTACCCAGATAGTTTCAAGATTCTGGGAATGTAATAAGCACACAATAACACCAGAAACACCTTCATATAATGAGAGAACCAAAGATAACATGTGACACACAGCAACTCAATCTGAGTTTAGGGAGGTTTATTTATCTAATCAAATAAACTGAGATAAAATTTTCCTGACAAAAGAAAGGCACTATTTGAACACATTTCTTCCTTCACATACCAGGGAACTGTAAAATGTTATCTGTGCCTAAAACAGCCCTGAACTTGTCAATTAAGTGCTCAGAAAGATGTGCCAAATTGTCGGGAAGATTTTTTTTTAAAGCTCTGAATAGGACTGGTGGAAAGAGATGATACACTTAAGGAAAATAAAGAAACTCCAAATCAGTTGAACAATGAAGCCCTTTTAGAGCACCTGTGTCCTCATCTATACCTAGAATATAAATTCCCTTGGGATAAGTTAAATGAAATAATTTATATTAAAACATTCTGTAAACTATAGATTATGTGAGGTTTAAATGCATCTTACTGATGAATATGATGATTGTAATAAAAATAATCCAAAATAAGTTATATTAAAGTTAAGATACTAAACATATCATTGCTCATTTAGTCTTAAAAAGACATGTTTCCTCTACAGATTGGCTGAAGAGATTTATTCATATTATATATCTTAGTAGATGGTGAATGGCACTGATTGCATCCTATGTCCCCCTTTCTTGGATTTTATAAGGCCCATTCAGAGTGAGCCAGGTTGAGAACACCACTAATTCCATGTTCTGGGTCCATCTGTTGGCAAAAATATAATGCAAACAGCTTTATAAGTGCTATTTTCAATGAAATATCACAGAACAGCTTGTCCCAATGATATTTCTAAAGCTTGCCTGCAAACCGCCTACTGGGAAATCCAACCGAAAGAGAAGGGGGAAGAGAAAGAAACCCATACAGATAAGCGTCAGCAATGGGAAAGAGAACAAAGGGTGAAGAGAGACCGGAGAGGGATGTGAACACCAGAGGAAATAAGGAGCAATGAGAGCCACCATGCCAAACACAGACTACACATCCAAAAACCATGAGGAGCCAAGAACCTAGAAAACACATAAAAAACCATTGGGGTGGGAGGACAGAGAAGCAAGCACAAATAATGCTGTATGTCCAGGAGGCTGAAGACAAGCAGGAAACAACAGAACATAGTAACAGCTTAGCAACTGGAGCATCATTATTAAAATGTTGCAAGAGGAAAATGTGAAATAGCCATTTTTCCAAGCTTCGCTTATTTCTTCTTATAATATACAAGGTTCATTTCTCTAGGCACTAATGCAGATTCCAGTATCTATTATCAATTTCAAAGGAAGCAAACATCCTTTACTGATTTCCTTTTTTCAATTTAAAAATCAATTATATACCATATAATAATCCAGGCATTGTGAATAAGTGGTGTCCATGCATTGACTCAAAAGCAGCACATAGGACATTGCAGATGTTGGCATTCTGGGCACTTACCTGGGGTCGAATGACTTTTACAATATTCTTTAGGGCAGTGTCGGGGGATGGAGGTGAGCAGTCAGGTGTTGGACCTGTGGAGCTGTTTCTATGGTTACTGGTTCCTGGAGCCGTAATTGCTACCTCAGAGGCATTATCTGTGAATAAAAATAGAACTGCTATGAACCTAATCCCTCAGTTTACCTTTGAAGATTTGAAATTACTTTTTTGAACACAAATTGAGATTTCAACTTAAACCTGCTATCAATTACAAGATCATAATAAGGAATATGCTCAGTGGTATAAAGATAATGTTTATTAAATGTTTTGTTTCCTTTTTCAGGGGTAAATTGTCATTCCCTGTAGGATTGTTCCAAGAAGAATAAAATTATCCAATTCAGGGCAGATCATCGAGCATAGCTCTTAAGACTTCCACTGCTACAGGAATAACTAAGACCTTACTTTAACTAAAAAGGAATATGATTTTACAACGTGACCCAGCTGCAACTTCTCCCATCATCTTTCTAACGCATATCAATCTTTATTAAGTAGTTGCTTCATAGCTCCATGATTCATAAAAACCAAATTCAAGCCTCCTCAAATAACTTTTCCAGAAATCCCTCAAACTGCAGAAAAACATTTCAGTGAAAAACCTTCATGAAAAAGTTACATCCATGCAAAATGATTTTATATATAAACCAAATTATCACCCCAGATAAGCATATGATGTCTGATCAAAAGTGCAGTGAGTGTTAAACCATTTTTTAAGAAATTATTACACTGAAGTATATATGGCTGTCAATTCTCTCAAATTACCCTCCCCCCGCTGCTTTGAAAACATTCATCACATTCTCGCCATCTCTGAAGCAGCCCGGAAGTCCTCTTTTATGAGTGACTTTAGTTGCACTAGCAGGGTTGCCTCACATCCTCCACATCCTGCATTCAAATGTTTTCCTTTCAAGGTCATTTTGACTTTGGGGAGGAGCCAGAAGCCTCACAGTGCCAGATCCGGTGAGTAAATGGAAGGGAACACACAGCGATGTTTCCCGGAGCCTGCCTTTCCACTGGGTGACACGGGACAGCAGCACTTACCGTATTTTCTATTACATTTCATAAAAGTTCTCATGAAAGAGGACTTCCAGGGTTGACAAGTAAGAGGCAACTTATTGGAGTGGCCACTTCAAAAAAGTAGCAAGAGGGCCGGGGGGGTGGCGGGGGCGTTAGCTCAGTGGTTCCCCCGCCTGCCTCACAAGCTCAAGGGCCTGAGTTTGATGCTTGGTATAAAAACAAAAAAACAAAAAAAGTAGCAAGAAGGATAACTGTTCAAAGTGAGGGGGAGTATTTTGAGGAAAATTAATGGCAATGTGTCTTTTAATATAATAATTTAAAATTTTAGACATCTACCATATAATTTGATCACTTCTTGTATCAACTAACATTAAATGAATAAAATTTCAAACTCTGAACTAATTTTCCCTTATGTTCAGAATTTGGTAGTGATGGCAGCAGTAAAGAAAAGATGACCAGAGAATCAACATCATATAAATTTGCTTCTTAAATTCATAATAAAACAAAATAACATCAGAAATATAGTTCTGGAAACTTAAATACTTGGCAAAGGATGAAAAATGTTCTATAACTTCTAGGACATAGAAAAGCTGCATTTTATAGATAATTGGGAATCCTATATAGCATTTTTATGAAAAACATCTCAAGCACAAATCTGAAAATGTTTACCTTTTTGTTATGTTTTTAATTGGTTCCCAATAGTTTTCTGTCCTAGACAGATGAATTTATACAAAGGAGGCTGAGACTATGAAATTTTTTAATAAGCCAGCAGGTTTTTCTGTCCCATGACCTCTCTACAATCTCAAGTAAAAAGCAGTAATTTATGAAAGTACCTCTTGCTCATAAAAAGTAAGGTGATGATTTCCTGTGAAAGTTGACTCACAACATAAAAATATAAGTTTCAATGGGGAATTCAGACACAGCCTTTAGAAAAAAAATACATTAATTAAATTGATTACTAAATGAATAAATCTTGGAAGTGTCCAGAGCACACTTTTGTCTACAGACTAACAGAGAGTGAAAGATTTGAATTGCTATCTCAGAATAGATAGTCCTTTGAGTGTAGTCCTCTGAGTAGGATGGGAAAGTATAGATAAATATTAAAGTAGACCAAAAACATCATTTAGTAATGACAAGATGCTCTAGCTATCTCTGGTATTGCCCTTCCTTATTTTATTCACTCAAACACACATCTAAAAGCATTTACTTTGGGGTAACTATGTGTTAGGAATTATGTTATATTATAAAGATAAGTGTACAGGGCTGAGGATTTGGCTCAGTGGCACCACTCTTGCCTTGCAAGCACAGGGTCCTGAGTTTGATCCATGGTACCAGAAGAACAAGTACATAAAAATAAGTGTACAGGGTCAGGGATTTAGCTCAGTGGTACCACCACCTGCCTCACAAGAACCTGAGTTCGATCCCGGGTACCAAAAAAAAAGATAAGCGTACAAAAATCTCTTCCCAAGGGCTAGAAAAAGAGATGAATGAATAAACAGTATATTTTCAGGGTAGTGAAACCCTTATGTATGATACCTTGAGGATGGCTTACCTGTCACTACAGGTTTGTCCAGCCCATAGAAGGGTTGAACAAGAGTGAACGCTAGCGTAACTCATAACAAGTGTCAAGGTAAGGGTCAGAGCTTGTAGCAGATACTCCACTCTAGAGAGGGACGCTGACAGTGGGCAGGGATATGAGGGCTATATGGGGACTCTATTCTTCTGCTCAATGTTCCTGTGAACTTAAAATGATCTAAAATAGTTTATTTTAAATAAAAGTGCATTTCCATCCTTAAGAAATATAATCAGGTATTGTAACACACATATCAACAAATTATAATACAATATAACTTGAAAATGATTAACAGATAAATGACATGATGAAAAACAGAGTAGCTGCATCTGGGAGGTAAGACAGTTGTGAAAGCCATTAGTTTTCTTGGGAGAAATCTAGGCCAAAACATAGGACACAAGGCCATGAAGGTGGGAAAAGTATAAAGGTGTTAATTTGTGTTAGGAAGGACCTGGAGATAAATTTGAATTAATAAAAAGAAATTTTGTCCCCATAAAAGTTTGCAGTTAACTCTGTAGGTAATGAAAACTATCCATGATTGTTTAAGCAGGGAGTTGCACATTTATTATGTGCAGGCAGCACGTTGAATTATTTTGGTTACTCAATCTTATTTGATTCTCAAAACATTCTATAAGACAGGTTCTATGAATATCATCCTCATTTCACAGAGACTCTACTTCCAGTAACTGGAGGAAAAGGATTCCAAATTCATCTTGATGCCACAGTAACATGCCATGGATAAGCAAAGTGATTAGAAGTACAGGAGCAGAGACCGAAGACTATTACCATCGTCAAGGTAGAAGCAGCCTCTACTTTTAAATAAAGTTCAATAAAAAAGAAATTATAAAAAACTGAAAATATCAACCGTAATAACATCTGGAAAGTATGCTTACCTCTACTATATGGACTAATGCTTGGAAACAGCAAGACAAGTCCAATGATGCAAAATAGAAGCCATAGTGCTAAAATTTGAGTTGAGTTGATAATAAATGATTGGATTTTGGACATGTGATGTATCACACTAGCTGTCTTCAAATGCCACCCCAAAGCTACAGTAATTAAAACAGTATGGCTTTGGCATCAAAAGAGACACACAGATAAATGTAATAAAATAGAGATCCCAACAACAAACATTTTATGGTCAATTGATTGTTGACAAAGGTACCAAGAACACACAATGGATAAGTGACAACCTCCAATCAATGATGGTAGGATAACTAGATCACCACATTCAGAAGAATAAATTAGACTCATATATCACAGCATACATGGAAATAAACACAAGGTAAGACAAAAATATAAAATATGAAATAGTAAAACTGCTAAAACTCACATACGGGAAAAGCTCCATGAAACTGGTCTGGCAAAGATTATTTTATATGAATCAGAAGCACAGAAGCATAGGCAACAAATGTAGAAATAGATATATGGGATTATGTCAAATTTAAAAGCTTCTGTATAACAGCAAACAGCCATCAGAGCAAAGATATGTGATAAGAGTTGCTGTCCAAAATATATAAGGAATGCAAAAAATAAAGAGTAACAAAACAAGATCAGACACACAAGCTTAAATATTGCATGGTTTCACCTTCATGAGAAACTCAAAATTTGAATAAACAGCAAAATAAAAGATAGGTAATAGGAGATAGGGAGGCAGAGGGAAGAGGACCAAGAGATGGAGGGAGGGCAGGAGAAAGAGTTGAAAAAAGAATTTCGATATGTTTTGTACATGTAACAAATCCCCACAAGGAATATAATCATTACGTACTTCAAACATGTACCAAAAAATAATTAAAATTAATTTTAAAGTGGGTATAGGGTCTAAATAGGCATTTCTCAAAAGAAAGCGTACAAATGACTAATAGGTGTATGAAAAAATGTTCAACATCACTAATCAGCAGGGAAATGCAAATTAAAACCACAAAGAACTATTACCTTCTACCTCACAGAATGGCTGTTACCAAAGAGATGAAAACATTGGTGGAGGTGTGGGGTAAAAGGAGCACTTAAACACTGTAGGTGGGAATGTAAATTAGTATAGCCATTATGGAAAACAGTATGGATGATCCTCAAAAAATTATAAATAGGACTTCCATATGATCTCGCAATCTTCCCAAGGGGTATATTACCAAAAGATAAAAAATTAGTATGTTGAAGAGATAGCTGACTCCAAATTCACTGCAGCATTATTCACAATTGTCAAGATATGGAATCAACCCATGTCTATCAATGGATGAATAGATGACTAAAAAGGAAATATATATAAAATGTAGAATGCTATTTAGGAAATACTATCATTTCAAAAGCATGAATAGATCCGGAAGACATTATTTTAGGTGAATAAGACAATACAGAAAGACAAATATCGCTTTCTCTGATGTATACATATAATGTCACCAAATTCATAAAAGCAGAGAATAGAATAGTAGATGTCAGAGGCTGAGGACTTCTTGGTCCATGGACTCAAAATTTTACTTACATAGGAAGAATAAGTTTAAGAAATCAATTATATGACAT